TGTAAGTACACCTAATGTTCTTTGGTGTGCCGCCAAAGGCTGTCTTGTGGAAAAACATCTGTAGGGCTGAGTTGCAAGCTAAACTAGCCACTTTTTCCATAGAACGCCATGTGTACTTGAAGGAACGAGAAACTGACATTAACCACGATAGCTGGCAAACTGCGAGGTCTACAAATGAACTAAGTGAGCCTGTTGTAAGAAAAACAACTGGCCGTGTTTGTCGTCAAAGATAAAATCTGAGCTTTCGAGCGAAAGCGAGAATTTCAGCAGACTTGACGTGTCACTATGATTTCACAGCTTTTCAAGACTCAAAGATGTTCCTGCTGAGATGAGTGGTGACGGTAACAAACGTGACTTCTGGATCATGGATAAGGAAGGATGTCAGCACTGGGAAGGTCAGCATCACTCAGGTGATGTATCATTACTCAAGTGATCGATAGCAGATGCTAAAAAAAAAAAAATCACGTGTGGTACAGTATCCGCTCATGCAAATGAGACCAAAGGCTTTGTCCATCCTTAACAGAGCACAAAACCCTCACCGGCTAAGGTGTGAGATACCACATTGCCGCAAATCGCTAAGGCGCTACCTTTTGGTGAGTTTTAGTGTGCCAACAAAGAAAAACACCCACTGTTACCTAGTAAGGCGATCGATACACTCCTCCCTTTTCCAACTAATTATCTGTCTGATGCCAGATTTTCAACCCAGAAGACAAATCACAGTAGCCTGACTGAAGGAGCAGATAGGAGAATTCAGCAGTCTTCCGTAAAGTCAGACATTAAAAGCTTTTTGCAAAAATGTAAAACAATGCTGCTCTCTTCACTCACATCTTTTTGTTTCGGGAAATAGAGTTATTTTCCATTAAAATTTTATTTACATTGCCTTTTTTTTTTTTTTACTATGTATTTGCTGTAATGGGTTTATTGCCGTCGTTTAAAAATAAGTTACTGGGATGCCTGGGTGGCTCAGTGGTTGAGCATCTGCCTTCGGCTCAGGGCGTGACCCCGGGGTCCTGGGATCAAGTCCCACATCGGGCTCCCTGCATGGAGCCTGCTTCTCCCTCTGCCTGTGTCTCTGCTTCTCTCTCTGGGTCTCTCATGAATAAATAATAAAATCTTAATAAATAAATAAATAAAAATAAATTATTGAGGATTTAAAATAGATTTTTGGCTTTAATTTCTAGAATAGTAAATACCTACAGAACTAAACCACATAAACAAGAGCTCTTCGGGTCCTCAATTTTGTAAGGCTGTAAAAGCAGTAAAAAAATACAGATTCACGGGCACAGATCTTTAGTGTAGCAGGCATGTAATGACAAGACCTAAAGGAAGAGAGTGGAAACAACTTAAATGTCCAATAATCAGGAAGTGTCTAAATAAATTAGGGTGCCTCCATTTGCTAGAACATTATGTAGTCATTAAAAATTATGTTTCCAGAGAGTATTTATTGTGAGAAAATGCTCAACACGCTCATCACGGGAGGAAGCAAATGTTCACCATCATGTTTCTGTAATGCCTGGATTCCTGGGGGAATCGGGGAAACTTGGGGGGGGGGCGGTGCTGAGGAAGCCAACAGGCTCCCAGAGGGGTCCCATGGGCTAGGGCCTCACTGCCACGGGTAGGGCTGGAGGGCCTCTGTATGTCTAAACACGCTAAGACACCATTCCTTCTGGAACAATCCTGCCGAGCTTCTCCCTTTATACCCATGACAAGACCAACTCCTAAACCTAATGTTCCGTACTCACCCCCAAAGGAACAGAGGAATCTTCTACTCCCTGCTCTCCCCAAACGTGATTCTTGTCTTTGCTTCGACACTGGAACCCCGGGCTGATGTTTCCGGTGTTTGCTCGAGTTCCTAAATCTCTCCCAAATCTCCTCATTCTCCTAAATTCTGGGAAATTCTGGTCTCATCCAACCTCAACCCAAAGACAGGGGCAGGTAGCAGGGAACTGCCAGGGGTGGAAGTCTTTGGGGGCTTTGTGTTTTCCCACTGCAGGGACGCCGGCTGCTAACAAGTGTCACCCAACATCTGCTGCTTACTCGGTTTGCACATTTATCCTCATTCTCCTCATTATGGGCATATAAATCCCTTTTCATGCTCCAGCCTCCTTCTGCCCACATCTGTCTGCAATTTACTCACCACGTGCTGGGCCTGGGAGGAAGCATCTTATTTACGACTTTCTGGAATGCCAGGCAGGATGCTGGGGCCGGCTGAAGGTGCCCACTGCTTTTTGGGAACCCTGCTACCTGGAGCTCGAATGGGCTCCGGGGGGGTCTAAGGTCTGGGCCACCCCTAGCGGGAATCAGGAGACCGACATCTCCAGGCGGAGGGGAGGAGGTGTGCCAAGCCCCCCATCATCTGATAATCACCAAGTATCTGCACTAATCGTGCCGGGCACTGGGCCAAGCGCTTTCTATCTCATTTAATCCTGATGACAACCCTCTGAAGTAGCTACTATTATTAGTCCCAATTATGAGACTTTGTTATTGTTACCCTCAGCAGGAGAACTGTATTAGTTCAGAGAGGTTAAGGAAGCTGCCCCAGGCCACACAGCCAGTAAGTGGCAGAGCTGGGATGCAGGCCCAGAGTCTGCTGTCCTCATTACTGAGCTAGGATGCCCTCCTGTCTGTCTCGTCCAGGGGGAAGAAGAGGTGTGTCTGTGCAGTGGAGAAAGTTTCGGACTCTGCTGGTAATTTGCTCTGAGCTCTGGCCCAAGTTATTTAGGCACCCTGAACTCCCTTCAGGTGCCTCCATCTGTGGCCGGGGGCGTGGGGGGGTGTTTAACCCTGGTGAGACTGGGGCGAGGGATCCATGCAGTGCGGGCACACAGTGCGTGCGCGACACAGCTGTCCTATCAGCAATACGACAGGTCCTTACTGTTGAGATTGCTGCTTAGAAAGGAGCCACCCCATCGGGCAGATCTCTGTGCCCCTGGGTGACCTTGGGTGATGGGGAAGCTACCTCACGGTGCAGAGTCAGGAAAATATGCCTGCACGGCTGCGTCCTGCGGGCTGAAGGGGGGAGGATGCCCCCCCTAACAGTCAGCTCTCCGCCCTCAGACATCGCCCCGTTTAGTTCACCGCTACTGTCCCATTGCTCAGACTAGGAACCTGAGGTCCGGGGAGGGGGCAGGCGGTCTGTGCCAGGGGCTGGGCAGTGGTGGAGTAAGTGAGCTTCCGCTTGGCCCCTGCCCATGCCTTTGGGCCCAGAAACAGCACAGAGAGATTTGGCTCCCCCGCCCCACCCCAAAGGTCCAGAAGGGCAGATACGGGTGAGGATTCTTTCCCCGGGTAAGGACGGACACGCGAGGCAGGCTTCCAGTCCCTGGAATAAATACCAGCTAAGGCGGCTGAGACTGCTTCGAGGCAGTCCCAACTCTCCTCAGGGCCAGAAGGCTTCTGGAGACCAAAGGCCGTCAGCTTGCATGGCCCCGGGCCCAGCGGCGCATCCTTGGGGAGACTCCCGTGGCTTGAGTCTCCGACCTGGAGAGGAGGGGGTGTCAGGAGGCCCCGGAAGGTGGGAAGCTCGCACAGCTCTGCCCAGACTCCCCCCTGGATGGTGCACACGGAGAGAAAATGTGTGCGTGCTCGGCACATGACCTCCCAACGAGGCCGCATCCGCTGGACCGCGGCACATGCCACTGCCCGCTCAGGCCTGGAGACGCCCCCGTCTGAGCGGCCCCGCTGGAAGCAAAAGGCCAACAGGACAGGGCTGCCCTGTTTTTAGAAGGACCATGCATTGCTGAGAAGAACTCAAAGGGTGCTGTTTACCCTCAAAGATGATTCCCGAAACTTCCTGGGGACGTTAGTGGGATGCCGGACGGACAGCCTGCTTGGCCAGCGTGCAAGCGTCCTGCTGCTCAGGTCCCAGCTCCAGCCAAAGACACCCACCACGACAGAGCCCACGGACCGTCCCGCAAAATCCACTCTCCCTGCCCCCGCGCCTCCCTCCCGGTTGGCCTCATAGCTGGACCCCGACACGCAGCCTCGAACGACGTTTCCCAGCTCTCCCTGCAGGCCGGCGTGGCCCTCCCACCGAGCTCCGGCCAAAGGGAATCTCGGGCTCTGCCCCTGGCTCTCCCCCAGGCCGAGGGGAGCAGGGATGCCCAGCAGCCTGACACGCTCCTCCCGATGGTGACAGGAGACAGAGACACCCTCTTTAAGCCGCTCTGTTTTGGGGTCTCTTTCCTCGAGCAGCCTGGAAATCAACCTAAGGAACCCGCGCTGGCTTCCGAAATGAAGTTTCCAGAGAACTCATCATTCTAGTAAACGTAAGTGGAAAGCGGGTTGCCAAGGTTTATCACCTTTCTCTCTTCCCCCAGAGAATCAGAGCCAGTCAGGCGGCCTCGAGAGAGCGTTCCGCGTCAGAGCTCTCCAAGCAGGATGAGCAGGATGAGAGGATGACGCCCCCAGCCTTTCTGGAATAATCAATCGAGACCCCTCCCAAATCCCACAGCGTGTGGGTGGGTGGCTCCCAGGAGAGATGGGCACGTCAGCCCCCGTGGCCCGGGTGGAGCACACGGGAGCCCGCGGCATGCCTCGTTTCCTAGCGCGGTTTGTGGTGTAGACACACCGGCCACGGGGAGGTCAGGGGTGGTCGGGCTCAGCACCGGAGCACCTGGGCACCTATATGGCACTCTCACCCGCCTCCTCCCCTGTCCTCTCGGACGTGGGACCCCAGACATGGCCCTTCCTGCTGGGCCGGCATCCTCGGTTAGTGGAGATGCCCGCCTGCCCCCCGGGCCTCAGAGGGGGCGACCCCGTACGAACATGGACGGGTTGGTCACGCCCACGCGGGACGGCACGAGCGTCCCACGGTGCAAGAGGCGGAATTGCACCACTAACGGGGCAGGGCGGCCTGAGCGGGGGATCGGGGGCTGCAAGGCCCCCGTGTCCAGGCCACCCCCCCCCAGACGCAGGTCCCTGGTCGCCGGCGGCCCCAGGGCCCAAGCCCGAGCCCCAGGCAATGGGAGGGAGGAACCTGCCGCCGCCTCGCCACTTACCCTGCAAGGCCTCTTTGGCTCTGGCTAGTTCCTGCTCCTTCTGGGCCAGCTGGACCCTGAGCTCGGTGGCCGAGAGGACCTCGGAGGACTTGCCGCCCTGGGTCTCCTCCAGGTCCTTCGTCAGCATCTCCTTCATCTGGCGCAGCAGGTGGACTTCCTCCTGGAGCCGGGACACTTCCTCCCGCAGGAGCCCTAGGGGACAAGGACACACGGTCAGAGGGAGCAAGACACCGGCTCGCGCTCGCTCACTTCTTCTGGGGACGCTTCCAAGGTGCCTTGCTCGGCATTCGAGGACTTTCCTGCACGGGTTCTGGCGAAGAAAACCCCCAAAGCTGGTAACCTTATTCCGCGAGGCTCAGCCCCGCGCACCCATCCGGTCCGCAGAGCAGCCTGTGGGACCCCCCACCCCGCCGCTGCTCCCGCTGCACCCAGGGCGTCCGCTCCCAAGGCCGACAGCACCTTCCCGCCAATAGGCGGGTACAAGGTGAGAACGGGGAGTGGACAGGAGGCAGCGTCCGGCCCCGACTTCGGGCACACCAGCTCCTTCAACCCTGTGGACGCCTTCCGAGGCGCCATGGATTCGGAAGTGGAGGCTTGGAGACATGAAGGAACTCCACGGGGTCATAAAGGTAGTGGGTGGCAGAGCCGGGATTTGAACCCAGACTCGGCCACCTGCAGAGCCTGAGCTCCCAGGCTGACACGCCCGGGAAACAGTCCCCAGCAAGCACCCTTGACGCGGGTCACGAAGCACGGAGCCTTCCGGAACCCAGCACTGCGCGACGCCTGCAGGAGGATGAGCGGTGGTAACGGGGACGCCGTGGACGGGGGGAGGGAAGGGCTCCCCGCACTTACACCCAACCCTGTATCCACGAGGGCCCGGGGATGAGGCCGAGGAGAAGGCGGCCCCCCAGACCCGCAGGCCAGCTCAGTTCTGCAGGTGCCAGACCCTGTCCAGGAGCAGACTGGTGCTCGGGTGTCCCCTCCTCGGGTAGGGAGACTATACACAGACGCGGGCCCGACAGCACGGCCTCGGCCTTCTTCGTGAACCCCACGCCTTGCTCTGCGCCGCCCCCCCCGCTGGCCCTCCCTCTGCCACATGCAGACTCCCGTACCTCAGGGCCTTTGCCCCTGCAGCGCCCACCACCTACGACGCCCCTTCCTTGTTCTTCCCGAGGCTGGTTCCTCCCTGTGACACACACCTTCATCCCCGGCCACCTCCTCGGAGGGGCCTCCCCTTCCTCCCTGGCTCCTCCTGCCAGGGGAGTCGGGGTGCAGCCCCGACTTGCTTCGGGGGGTCGCGGCGGTGGCACAGCTTTATAGAGCCCCTGGGTCCCCGGCTAGGTTCCCTCCCTGGCCAGGCACGTGGCCGTGAGCAGGTCCCTCCCCGCCGAGCCCCCGAGGCTCCCAAATGGGTCCAACGCTCATCGGACTGTGAGGCTCCCCCAGAGGTGGCCCCCTCACCCGGGCCTGCTCCAGGATGTCCTCACGCGGCACAGGAAGCGCCCGGTCCTGGGGAGGCGGTGGCTACCACGGAGGGACGTGTCACCTCTGCCCGCGCCGGGTGTGCTAGAGCACGACGCCTGCGCTCCTCGGGCATCCTGGGCTCACGGCGGGCGGGGCCGAGGGGCAGCAGGGCTGGGGTCCCCCCACCCGCAGGCCTGGCGGGAAGGCCACCTTGACTGCGACCCGCCTCGTGCTCCCCCTGCATCACCTTCTCCGAGGCCTCCTGGGTTCATGTGTGGAGGGGAGGCGTCCCCGCCGGCCCAGCGCCTCCCGAGCCCCCGTCTCCCACCGAAGCCGAGGGCCCCTGAGAAGCTCGGTCCTTCCCTCCTCGCCTGGGCACAGAGCCAGCGGGCAGCAGCCTCCCCTCCCCGATCTCCCTCAGCCACCTCTCAGCCCGGAAGATGGGACCTCAGGCTGCCAGGACAGCTTCCTCCCGTCCTCACAGGTGCCTTCCTGCCACTCGGTCCCCACCGCCACCCCGAGACCTAAAGCAGGCCCCCTCCGACCACCTGAGCACAGCCCTTATCAGTGTGGGAGGCCCATCTGTGCCCAGCGGGTGCCCTCCCCGCCCAGCAGCCCTGGTTACCCCGTCCCGGCGCCCTTGCTGCGGGGTCTGAGATGCTCCGGACAGTGTGTGGTGCCCCCCAGACAGCCGAGCTGACTCCCTCGGCCCACCTGTCCAGCCAGAGTTCGTGGGCATTTGCTCCGTGGCAGACACGGCTCCGGGCGCCGGGGGCCTTGGGTGAACGTCCCAGGAGGTCCCGACCTCAGGCCGGCGCTCCCAGACCCCACCGTGAACACGGGCCACAGGACCCCCGAGCCGCACTCTGGGAAGGCAGGCCCCCTGCAAGGGGGCGCCTGGCGCTCGGCCGTCGACGGGCTCGGTACAGGCTGCGAACTGCCCAAGTCTCTCAGCGAGACTGGAAAGTAGGAGGCTCACTGGGCCGCACCCCCCGACTCCCCTTGCCGCAGCAAGCACTGCAGGCTGCCCACAGTTAAGGCCCGGGGCAGGGTGTCCAGGAAGGAGAGGGGAACACCTTGGCCTCGAGAAATCTCCCATGAGTAGAAGCGGAACACACAAGCAAGCATAACACGAAGACGGAGCTGCATGGGCTTGCAGCACAAGGACGCCCGAAGTGCAAGATGGAGAGGGTGCTGAGCAGAGCAAAGAGCAGGAGCAAAGGCTGCGAGGCTAGGACGTCAGCGGTCCCTGGACAGGTGGGTGGAGGGAGTGCACAGGCATGAGGTGAGGAAGAGCGGGAGGTGTCCTGGAGAGCCATGCCAGGGTCAGATTATAAAAGGTCTTAACACTGACCACCTTTCTTGGGACCCCAGCCCCGGCCGTCTCTAGCGGTACTCAACACTCTGGAATTATCATTCTTGGTCCCTGCCGTACAGCGAGTGTGTCGCCCCAGAATTCACGCTGAACCCTCATGTGTGGTGGTATTTGCAGGTGCGGCCTTTGGGAGGGAGGAGGCCATGAGGGTGGTGCCCTGGTGTAGGATTAGCGCTCTGACACAAGAGACCCCAGAAAGCTTCCTTGTCTCTCCTACAGCACGAAGGCACAGCAGAGAAAGGCAGCCCCAAGGAAGAGGGTCGTCCCCAGACCCGGAATCTGCCTGCATCCAGGACTCCAGCCTCCCGGGGTGGGAGGGACGCTGTGGGGTCAGCTGTTGCGGACGTCCGTTAGGAGCCGGGAGACACTGACGCGCTCTCTCCCACCAATTCTCCTCCCCAGGGTCCGTCCCCACTCAGCGGTCACCTAAGGTCTGCCTCACAGGAAGGGGTGAGCGGCGGCTCCCGTATCCGTGGTCACAGGCGCCTCATCCTGCAGGCGGGGCCTAGTTTGTGTGTTCAGGGATGCGCTGCCTTCAACTGCCCCCAAGGAGCCAGGAAGGTTGTCCTCTATGTCTGTGCAGGTGGCAGAGAGAGTTTTCAAGGGACCTGGCTTCAAATCCAGTCCGGGCCAGGGCCTGGCTGTGACCCTGAGCAAGCCCCTTCATCTCTCGGGGTCGCAGGTCACGCTACGTGGGGCTAATGCCACCTGTGGGGGGGGGTTGCCAGAGTTAGGGGGAAAAATAAAAAAAAAAAAACAACCCCAAAGGGCCCCCCCCCCCGATGCACAGTTCAATCTGAATTTCGGGTAAACAATGTTTTATCCTAGAAGATTCTTTCGGATAAGCGTGTCCTGGATACTCCACGGGACGTATTTGTACTAAAACTCACTCGTTGCTGATCTGAAATTCAAGTGTGACCGGGCACGCGGTGTTCTATCCTGCAACACTACTCCCGTCCCACGGGGATTCGGGCAATGATACGGGACGGTCACGGGATAGGGCTGCGCCCGGGCACCTCAGAGGAGGGAGGTGGTAAAGGCAGAGGCCGCACGGCCTTCTCTGCACCCCGGCATCGAGGTGGGGGCGCAGAGCAGGATGGGGCCGGGCGCCCCTCTCCGCGGCCAACAGTGGCCAAGGCGGAGGGTTGCTGCGCTCACCTTTCTAGCAGGTGCACCTGACAACGGGGCCCCGCCCCTCGAGAGAGGCCCTGGAGCAGCAGGAGGGCGGGCCCGGGAGGCGAGGCACCTGCAGGAGCCAAGTCTCAGGAGACCAGGCTGGAAAAACAACTTCAGGGAGAGAGAGGCTCGGCCGAGCTGACTGCACCTGCCCTGGCTGGGTGTGTGCACACCCTGGGACCCTCCCAGGGGCACGACTCGGGACCACAGCCCATGTACGGGCTGGGGGGTGGGGGCCAGGCACGTGGCCTCCCTGGGCCTCGGATGCTTCACTTGTAAAGCGGGGGAGAGGGGACCACACAGCCCCGCTCGGCCAGCGTTGTGCCCCTTCGCCCCGACTCCCATGCCCCCCTGTGCAGACGGCACTGGCCATCCAGCGGGCAGCAGCTGGAGTTGGAAGCGCGGGGTCCGTGTCTCCGGGGAGCTGCTCCCGCGCCGTGTGACCTTGGGCGAGCCGCTGTTCCTCTCTGGGCCTTCGTACTATCGGTGCCCGCTCTGGGGCTCCGTCGGTTAAGCGCCTGCCTTTGGCTCGGGTCATGATCCGGGGTCCTGGGATCGAGCCCTGAACCTGCTTCTCCCTCTGCTCCCCGCGCCCCTTTCGTGTGTCTCTCCCCACCTCTCACAAAAAGAAATAAATAAAAATCCTAAAAACCCACATATCGGTGCCCACTGTTAATGCACCTGGATGGATGCCACTGACCCTGCATTTCTTCCCTGGGTGGGGGCGCGGGGGGGGGTCCCTCCTTGAGTCCACGCTGCTGAGCTGCTCAGGAGGGCAGTGGGCGAGTCACCCGTGGCTCCTCAAGGGCAAATGCATCAAAATTCAATTATTTTGAATGTAGTTATTTAAATATTTACATTGAATTTAATTGAGAGTCAGATCCTGGGCTGCGCCGGCCACGGTTCAGGCACCTGCGCGCAGCCAGTGGCCACGGGGTCGGGGCGCACAGGGCTGCGGGGTGCTGTTCAGTGCTAGTGTGCAGGGCCCAGGGACAGAGAGAAAAGGGGGACGTGGAGCTTGTTAAGTGCCCGGCGCGGCGCAGCCCCACAAACACCCACACAGGGAGCCCTTTGCCAAAGGCCAGGGGTGCGGAGGAAGAAGCCACCTTTGCCCGAGGGCGGGAAGAGGGAGGGAACTGCGTAGCCCCTGGGGGAGCTGGGCAGCTCGCACCTCGGG